ATAATATAACAAACTGATTAATTAATTATTTTCAATGATTAATAAGAAAATGTATATAGCAAGTACATGTATTATTATTACATTATTTATATCCACTCTATATTAAATCATTTTTCTATTATAGTTTGACGCAAATTTCAGAATGTAAAGAATGTTTTGGATTCGAAAAATAAATATTCAAAATATACTAACATGTCATTTAATCTTATGATATTTTACATTTCATGTGAAAAAAAATTAAATATTAATTTTTTAATATGAAAAATATTAATTTATTAATACAACATAAAAGTAATAAAGGACAATATATAAAAATATTTGAAGTATTTGATATTTTATTAAATTAAAATAATTCTAAATTAATATATAGCCGCGCAACGCGCGGGTACGTATACTAGTGAAGAACAATAATAAAGAAGAAGACAATTGAATTAATATTTATTTTTTCCAAGTTTAATTTAACACATGACCAATTTTTATTGGTCAGTGCTGTCAAAAAGCTGCACCCACGCGCCTAAAATAGGTGAAATCACGGACTCAGCCACGTAGGCCAAAAAGTGGTAAACAATTAACTAAAAAATAAGTTCAGGGGGGTAATAGGACCTTAGTAAAGGTTAGGTGTGTCTCAGGGATTTTGGGCATAGGCTGGGGGGGTACTTATGCATTTTCCCTTTTTATTTCATAAACTACAATATGCGCACTTGCCTTCTCTCTGTGTTTCTCCCTATTGCAGCCCTTGCTTCTGTGTCTCGCCCACAATTTACTTAGTTATTGAATTAGGAAAATCAAATTGGCATTTAATTTGATAATATCGCTATGTTCACAATTAACCATACTCCATTCTTACCACAACTAAAAAACACTTCTCCTTTTAACTGCAGGTATTTTATCAACTACAGTCTTACATCAAGATGACAACCATCATCGTCTATTCTGCTATTTTTGTATAAATATGTAAACAGAATAGCAGTGCAATGGGTAAACAAATGTGTGAAAATATTACTAACTTTTTCCCAATTGTAATCATTATCAACATTTGTGATAGTTAGTATTACCAAATACATATTCGGCCTGTGCGTGCACGGGTAACCAAGTCTAGTTTAATATATATACATCATGCCTAGTTTATGTGATAAAATAGTGACACTAGCCATTTACTACTTTTTATGGTATCTTTTAAGTGATTTTGCAACCTTTAAAATTTGATTCGAAATAAATGATTTTCTTCCGAAAATAAGGATTTTTTTTCTTTTTAAAATTAACCTTGTTTGATAAATAGTTGAACAAAATTCTAAGAAATCTTTAAGGAATGATATTATACTCCTTCCATCCCAAATTAATAATTACTTTAATTCTAAAAATAAATAAATATAGCTCTAAAAATTTAAGATTGAAGTTAGTCGTTCGAAAATCTGAATACACAAATCAAATCAGATATGCTACCTAACTAAACTCGACATTTCAGACTTAAGGCTCCTCGACCCGAAACCTCTGAAAAACGCAATAAACTAATTTTCATCCAAAAATACCAAAATACCTTCGGAACCTCTTAAATTCAACCAAGACCTCACATAGGCGTAAAATCATTCCCCAAATCCAATGATATCGTTGAAAACTCTAGGGTCCAAATCCTTATAACAACTCCGTAACAAAAAAACAACTATACTCCTAGACCAAATTCTGCATTTTAGAGTTGATAGATCTAACGGAATCTCATTATGAGACTCATAGCTCCGATTGTTAATAAAATTCACTCTTAACCACTTGAAGTCTCCAAAACTCTAAAACTTCCGAAAAATCTCAACTTTTCAATCAAATTTCAGAACCAATTTCGTTGACTTATCAAATATGACTTGAGACAACTATCGGAAGAGGTAAAACGATAATTTTTTGAAATTTTCAAATTGACTTTTAGAATCATCACAACTATTTATTATTTCTATGTAGATTATAATAATATCAATTAGTACACAACTATTCCTTGTAGACTTCTAAATTTTTTTTAACACATCTGGACTCTAGTTGTTATTAAATATATAACATATTTAAATTTTTTTTTAAAAAAATTCCATTCTTTGTACTATAAATCTGCAGCCCTCTCGCTATAGAGGACAAGCAAGAGCAATAAGGAAAGAAAAAAACAGCTAAATTAAACCAAAAAAGTAAGTTCTCTACATGTTTCATTCTTGATTTACTCAGAATTCAATTACATTCTTTGCTGTCTCAAGTTCAATAATAAATTTGATTATTTTTCATATGGTTACTAAATTAATAATTATTATTTCGTATAATTACTTTTTTGTTTGAAACAAATTGAAATAAAAAAATATATAACTTTTTGAGATAGTAAATATTAGTTGAATGAACATATATAAATGTAACCCTCAAATAATATGTCTAATTTGAATTAATATACTTCATCTTAAAATAATAATTCAAAGTTAGAGTAGGAGATCAAATTTATGTAGAATTTAATATGTTAAGTCATGTCTAAATGAGATTTGTAGTCGGAATAAATTGTAATAAATTTCCATTGTTCAAGAACTGCAATAGCATTCGAAGATTTATGAATTTGTATAATGAATAAAATATTTGTTCTTCATCATGTAATAACTTTAATATCACTTACATATATCACATAGTCATGTAAGGAATAATTACATCTTATCCCTATTTTTTTTCTAATTACAATAATCCCTTAAAATTTGTACCTTCCCGTTACAAAAGTCACTATTTGGATACATTAATTCTCATACAAGAAGTATCAATCTGTTACACTAAAATAGGGAATAAAATATAAAAATCAAATTAAATCTCATAAATTACGCTTACGTTTCTTCTTACTTTCCATCATACAAGGCAAATCCTAACAGAAAGAAGAATATCAAAATTTCAAATTGTTTCCCCCTTTTCATCGAAGAAACCTTTCAGATTTGATTTAAAAACTTTTGTCGAATTTTTGGATAAGTGACGTGAGTTATGAAGGATACAAAAGTGATGGAATTGTTGTTGGAAAAAATATTTCTTTTGTGAATCTTCAATTTCATCGAAGATCCATTCAATTTTGATTCAAGATTGTTGAAAAATTTGAGATTCAAAATTTCTTCTCCAAGTTCATTGAAGATCCTTTTAATTTTGATTCATAATTATCAAAAATTTTGAGAAGATACATCATGAATATCTTCGCTAGTCTTGTTTTTATCATTGTCAGTGGTTTGAAGAAGTTCTTGAGCTTCTCTAAGGGCACTCAACCTCTTACTTCGTGCCGATGCCACCGCCGCCTCTATGATATTTTTCTCCTCTATCGATATTGACTATATACTTGTTTATTGAATGTCAAATTCGAACTCTCACTGCTTCTACAAAGTAAAAGAACCTGGAAAAGTAGAAGAACACAACATTGATAGAGCAACTGGATGGATTTAAATGTATCACTTTTTATGTATTTATATATCATGTTCATAAAATTGTGCATGATACATTATTATTTATTACTGTAATCCTACCTGATACATTAAAGTAATAAAGGTTGCCCATAAGGTGTTTGGTTTTAGATCGATACATTACTATGTGGTAGTTATTAAATATGTAGTGTTAAATTGTATGAATGTATCATGACCAAATTATTATGAGTAACATAATTAGCCTCTGCCATTGCCTCCAACATTATTATGAGTAACGTAATTAGTTGTAAAACATGTCTCAGAGTGATGAATTACAAAACATTATTGACAGTAATATTTTATATTTATTTACTATGTCAGAGCTTTGTCTTTTTGTCATTGAATTCTTTTAAATAAAATAAAGTCAAAACATTATTAAGAAATATATTTATTCTAATTTAGTAAAATTTCCGAAAAATATATTATTTTTATAAAATATCTTAAATAATAGCTTATTTCGGTCAAAAAAATATCTTTAAAAACAAACAACTTTCTTTTGTAGGAATTACAATTGAAGAAAGAAGGATGACAGACTCCACTGAGATTACCCTAATAGATGACCAAACTCCACTGCTTCCTCAAACTAAAAAAGATGAGGTCTCTCTCAACTATATATATTAATTTTTTATTTCATTAACCCACTTCTCTTTTGGCAATTACATATATAATCTTTTGCTTTATATGTGCATGAATTTGAAGAGATTTGTAGAATTTTTTAGAATATTTCATTTCATATAATTTTAAGTCACATTCACTAATCGTGGTTTTACACCTTTTGGATTCTTTTTATTTGAGTCGGGTTTGGAGGGGTAATGCATAAGGTGAGGTAATTTATTCTATTAACAAAAGGGGAGTAAATATGCATCCTTTATTAAACAAGGAATATATATGCATTACTTTTTTTTAACGAAATATATATTTGATCTAGACCGCAAAGTTAAGAAGGGTATACTTGCCTCTTCTCCGTTACAGATAGAAGAAGAGAGGAAAGTGGATCATTTAATCGACATAAATGAAAGAATTGATGAAATGTTTGAGGATTTAGACAATTCATCTATTAAATCGTGTACGATATTCAAAGTAAATGTGTGGCAACGTGAATCAAATCCAGATGCTTATACACCGAAGATGGTCTCCATTGGTCCTTACCATAAGAAGAATACTCAACTTGGTCCAATGAAAAAGTACAAACTATTATACCTACGACGGTTTCTTCAACGGAATGAGAGACTTGATGTGAAAAGTTACATCAGTGAAATGGAGAAAGTGAAGGAGGAAGTACTGAAGTGTTACGAAGATATAGAAAAGCTTGGTAATGACAGTTATGAATTTTGCGAAATGTTGTTGTTTGATGGTTGTTTTGTGGTTGAGTTTATTCGAGAGTGTTGTGCAATATATCCAGAAGGAGAAGACAAGATTATTAATATTAATGATTATTACATATTCCGAGACTTGATGTTACTAGAAAATCAACTTCCTTTCTTTGTACTCAACAAACTTCATCTCATGACAAAAAAAGATGATGAATTACCATTGGCAATACTGGTGAATAAGTTGTTTGCCTTTTTTGTTAACTGGCCAAAAATGACCCTTGAATCCTTTGGAGAGTCAGAATATTGTAATGCAGAAAATATCAAACATTTACTTCATGTAGTACACATGTTTTCATGTCATGGGAATCCTATGAAAAACTTAGAAGATTACTTAACGAGTGCTATGGTCATGCCAAATGCAACAGAGCTTCACGAAGCTGGAGTTAGCTATGCAAAGGTCAGAAATATGACAAGTTTATTTGATATAAAGTTCGAGAATGGATTGATGACAATCCCTTGTTTTCTAGTCGCAGATGGTACAGAAACTCTCCTGCGAAATCTCATTGCTTATGAGCAACAATCATCTGATGTATATCCTACATATTTTAGCGATTATGCAACTTTCATGGATCATCTTATCGACTCAGACAAAGATGTGAATTTGCTTTGCCAGAAAGGAATCATAGAGAACTGGATAGGAAAGGATAAAGAAGTTGCTAGCCTCTTCAACAAAATCGGTAAAGGGGTCACTAAGTATTCCAACTTCTATTACAAAGAAGAAATCAAAAAAGCAATTGAACATCGTGAAAAACCATGGAATAGCCCTAAAAAAAAATTACATTGTATATATAAGGTGAATTTTCTGGATTTATGTGGATATATATATTTTGAACCCCCTCAATGACAAGGGTGAAGGAGATAGCCCAGTGGCAGCTCCCTTCAACGTTAAGCCTGACGTCCAGGGATTGAATCCCTGGGTTAGCGTTTTATTTTTTAGTTTTTTACTTTCAGTTTTTTTTTGTTTTTGTTCCAGTTCCGATTTTAATTTTTTTTTTCTTTAATAAAACGTGCTAAAATGTGGTGTTAAACCCAAAAAACTTAAGGGTCCCAACTCCCATACTCCCATTCCTAAAAGCTAATAACTTTTTCACTTTTCAAATCCCTAAATCACTTTCTTGTTCTTCCCCAACTCAAAACTCAAATATTAAAATCATCTCCCATAATATTCTATTGTTGATTGTTTCATACTTGATACTTCATGCTTGAATCTCACATTCAATTCGAAATGAAAAATCAAAACTCATGCTTATTGCTTAAAAGGTAAAAGCCTTTTTCTCTTCTTCTTCTTCTTTTCTTTCAATTTTCAAGAAATTAAATGGGTCTTTATTTTTTAAGGTTGTAGACTTGTAGTATCTCTGATTATCTGAAGTGGAGGCTCAAAGCTAAAATTAAAAGGGTTGATTGTTTGTCTTTTCTCCAAGATAAGCTTTTCTCTCAATTTTCTTGAAAAGTTCATCTTTCTTGATTGAATATTGAATATTGACTATCTTCATTTTAAATTGTGAATTTTTTTTGATTGTTTTGTTCTATTCTTTCCTTGATAGTCGTAACTAGATTGATGAACCATTTGAATTTTGATGGTAATATCTAATGTAATTTGTAAAAAGTTATCTTTAATGCATTTAACAATTAACTATTTTGTATAGATTCATAGTCAATGGAGAAGTACTTTTTTAAAGTATCAAATTCAAGTTCTATTACTCAGAATCAACCTAACCGGGAAGAAAATGCTAATCATTTGGAAGTACTATCACACTCTTCTCAAGAATTTGATTTAAGTTCTTTAAAGGTTGATCCAGGTGAAAGAACTCAAATCTTGGAATTTCATCCAAATCACCGTGACGCTATTAGAAGAGCTTATCTCCAAAAAAAACCTTGTCAACCTCTATTAAGAGAGTTTCCACAAACAAACATTTTTGGAGATGTGCGTCATTTTAATTATAAATGGTTTGATGAATTTCCTGATTGGTTAGAGTATAGTATAAGCAAAGATGCAGCCTTTTGTTTGTATTGTTATTTATTCAAGCAAAATAACAATCTCCAATGCGGATGTGAAACATTTTTGAGTGTGGGGTTTAGAAGTTGGCATAA